TGGCACGTTCTATGCACGTTACGGGAACAGGATCGGATAGTCACAGTGGAACATGGTGCAAAGAATTGTTGAATACAATCATGCAAAATACACCACATTCATGGGCCAATCATACTCTTCAATGTTTCCCTCCAGTATTGAGCGAATTTTTCCAACAAAATAGCGTGCCAAAAGAGAACAAGCAACAGATTAAGAAAGCGGTAGAAGAAGAATATCGAAATTGGGCTTCTATGAGCAATGAAAATGACATAATAGCACACTTTTCTGTACCTGGTACATCACCTTTATTTTTATGCCTTTTGTGGAAGATCATTTTTGAGACTGATCGAATTAGTCCGATCGCATACAAAATCTTAGAAAGGATCGGAGCTCGAGCTTTGTCAGCTCATCTTCGAAAATTCTGTGATTATCTTGTATTTGAATTTGCTAACAGTGTGGGTGGGCAACATGTAAATAAATGTGTGGATACAGTTAACGATATGATGTGGAAATACAATATTGTAACTATTGACAGATTAATTCTCTGCCTAGTATTGAGAACTCACGAAGGCAGTGACGCTCAAGTATGTTTTTTTATAATTCAGCTATTGTTATTAAAAGCTATTGAATTTAGGAACAGAGCCCAAGAGTTTGTAAAAGAAAATTCTCCGGAGCATTGGAAACAATCGAATTGGCATGAAAAGCATCTTGCCTTTCATAGAAAGTTCCCAGAGAAATTTGCCCCAGAAGGTATCATGGAACAAACTAGCGGAGGGCCTAGTCAATATCAAAGTTTACCTGTTTATTTTGGGAACGTATGCTTACGATTTTTACCAGTTTTCGATATCGTTGTACATAGATACTTGGAAATTCCAGCCGTGTCAAAAAGTTTAGAAACACTATTAGAACATTTGGGATGTTTGTATAAATTTCACGGTTCGTACATACTCTCTTATTAATAATAGAGCAATCCATATGTATGAATTAATCTTCTCATTTTTTTTTGTTTTTTTTTTTTTTAGATCGACCTGTTACGTATCTTTATAATACATTACATTATTACGAACGTAAATTAAGGGACAGACCGCCTTTGAAACGACGTTTAGTATCAGCTGTCTTGGGCTCCTTAAGAGAAATTAGAGCACCAGGATGGGCACTCTCAGAAGCTTATCAAATGTATATGACTCGATCTTCTGACGATGTTGTCACATGGATGCCAGAATTGGATTATTATATTCGTTTAGTACGGAGAATTGTAGAAAGTAAGTGACTTTATTATGTAGTATTTTTAATTATTAATTATTACTTAATTTTCAGCAATGTCAGGTACAGCTCATTTTCCTGCTACGGACTGGAGGTTTAATGAATTTCCCAACCCTGCTGCACATGCATTGTACGTTACATGTGTCGAACTTATGGCTGTTCCTGTTGCTCCAAATATAGTTGCCAACTCATTATTAGATGTAGTTGCAAAAGGGTAAGACACGATAAATTTAAATATTTTATGTTTAAGTACTTCTTTTAATTTTGAACTTATTAGGTACACAGTGATACCCTCAGATGAAATTCATTTATGGATAAATTGCGTGGGTTTGTTGTTAGCTGCTTTACCTGAATGTTATTGGTCGGCACTTCATGACCGATTAGTAGAAACAATTAATAGTCCAGGTTTAGCTAATTGGCAATATAGTAATTTAACTCCATTTCAAATATTTAATTTTAATAATACGCACAACAGTTTGTTGGAAAATAAATTCAGTTATATGCTGGCATTAGCGCATTCTGTGTGGCATCATGCTGGTGTTGGACAAATAACTACTATGCCTCAGTAAGTTTCGAATATGATACTATACAATTTCTATAATAATTATAGTATAACTTATTTAAATCTAATTTTATTTAGATTTATTAAAGAGAAACTTCAGCCAGTTGTAAATAGCGAAGAACAATTGATATATGCTTGTCATTTAATTGGTCCTACTTTAGCGAGATTTAATGCTGAAAGACCGAACTGCGTTGTAGAATTAACAGTTCGTTTATACGAAATGCTGGAGCAAGTTGATCGACTTCAAACTCATTTAAAATATATGGATCCAGTTTGTGATTTATTGTATCCTTTTATTAATTTATTTTTATATCATTGTTCGATAAAGTATTTTTATTATTTTCTTATTGTTAATATATTTCCCTCAATACTAACTGCAATAGATATCATATAAAATACATGTTCGTTGGAGATATGATGAAGAATGAAGTGGAATGCATTATAAGAAGATTAAGGCCTGCTTTGCAAATGAGACTACGATTTATTGCTCATATAAATATAGATGAAATTCAGTCTTCCTGAGACATGCCTACTACTAGTAATGCGGAAATAAATACATGTTAATGTTGAATATACTGAAGTCTTTGAATTTTAATTTCAAAGTATTTTAAAATGCATTTCCTACATATTAACAATCAAGATTAAATATGGAAAATATTACATAAAGAAGAACTTAATCTTTATATAAAATAAAGTAATATAAGTAATGAGTATAAATGTAAAATAAAAGCATTTTAACGAAGTATTATAACAAGACAAAACAAGAGATGTAAGTTGTTTTGTCTAAACAGTGTATTTATGTTTATCACATATTTTTCACAGCACATCTGACAAGGCAGTACTGATGTTTCAAATAGGCTTCTAAATATATATTGTCATAGTAGAAAGCATGAATTATAAAGTTCAAAGTTTCATGCATATGTATATAATAACTATTTATATTTATAAACAAACATTAGTTAAAATTTTTTGAGATTAATCACGATAAATTTGATTAAATAATTACTATGATATTTTAAATTTGTGTATAATTATTTTCAAAACCTAAATTATGTATCAACATAATGCACACAAGTGCATGTTATATTTATATAAATATTCTAATCTAAAGTTTATCGAAATCAACGTTTCCTGTTTTCAAATCTTTAACTAATTGGGCAAATTTTTCATATGAACATTCATTTTCCTGTACAAATGGTTGTGCCTTCATTTCTTGCATCCATTTCATCTAAAACAAATTTAGTAAATAAGTTTGTATTTTAAGAAATAAAATTATTCTTTCACATATGTTTAAACTTACTAAATGAGAGAAATTTCCATCATTAAAATTTGTAGGTTCATCATAAATAAGAGATAAAGATTTTCGTCGTTCAACCCATGGCCACATAAGTACATCTAACATACCAGGCTGTGTTCCTAAAATAAGAAAAATGGAATCAACATTTTTTTGTTCTATACCATTTGCAATATTATCTGAAAATTATTTATAAACCTCCAAAATATACAGTTCCACGAGCCTTAAGCTCTTCTTCAAATTCTACTAGTAAAGATGAAAATTCAGCAACAATTTCACTGAGTGATCTGTTATCATTACCATGAATACAGTTTGAGAAAATACTGACAAGCTAGAAGACAAATCATTGTTAAAACAAATAATTATTATTTTGTTAACATCATTCGCAAAAAGAAAACTTTGCACATTGAACTTTTTTACCTTGGAATAGTGATCCAACAATTCTAAATCACGAGCTTTGGTTTTTTCATGATACAAAGGAGGCTGAGCATATTTTTCATCCAAATAATTCGCTATTACTAATGAATCAACAATTACTTTACCATCAGCATCAACAAGCGCTGGAACTTTACCCTCTGGATGAATCTAAATAAAATAAATAGTAGTAATAGTAGTAATAATATGATAGACGTTACTCAAAATGTAGTTTTTAAATCATTAACAAATTGTGGAATGTATGGAGACATACCTCCAAATACCACTTTGGTTTATTTCTGATGTTGATATTAATAGTATCGTGTGGAATGTTTTTATAAGAAAGTATTAATCGAATTCTGTGTGTAAAAGGACAAAATTTCATACCATATAAACGAACGTATCCTTTCACTTCTGCTGGTTTCTGAGAATCTGCAAATAATATTCAATATAATTATCTAATTGTAAGAAACAAAAGTAAATTACAGTTTCAAGTTTTTTATAGCTTTGGAATTAAAATCATAAATGAGAATATTTCAATTTCTTGTAATAATAATACATAAACTGTAGTCTATAAATCATTGTAAAAAAATTTCCAGAATAAATCTACATAAATATAGGTTGATAGTACTATTGATTTATAATTGTTACAAAAAGATACATGTATAAAAAATGTTTAATTAATAGTTTAAATATTTATGAAAAAAAACAACTGTTTGAGGGAGAAAAATATAATAGCAATTATTGGAAGTTTTATTTGTTTTATAAAGGAAGACATAAATCTAAGAAGTACACAGTATAATTCACTTACCAGGTCCAAGATGTAAACTACACATAATTGTTGATATTTTGTTAGATTTATCTCTAACAGTAAGATGTGTAACGTATTTCGAAATATTGGAAATGATTATCGTACGATTAATACAGTAATTAATTAATACAATAAGAAATTCCAGACACGTGACTATTTGTTACAATGTACAACGTACTCGCCGATCTTTCTACGTCAAACGAATACTAGAAATATTCCAAGATGTTAGAATGAAAACTACAGTTTCTCAATTTTCAGTTTTTCTAAATGGAATATAACATTACACCAAACTCAGTAAACGTGCCAACAGCAATGTTACACACTGACAGTTTCTCATTACATTTTTTTTTTCAAAGAAACTAGGTCAGATCTGCGCATGTTTAAAAGTCGATTGATCGAATCGAATTTTTGAATGTTGTTAACCATAATTACATTTCAATCATCTGAAATTGATAAAGAAATGTTTATCTTTAACTTTTGTGTCAAAATTTTATTTGATAATAATTAAAAATGGTAATTTTTATTCTAGATATCTTTATACATTTTAGGTTACAAATATAATTTCTTATAAGTGAAGATTCGTTCTATTTATTTATTTCAAAATAAAAATATTAAAATTACATTAATTTCGTTATATTACACAATTGGCAATATTTATATAAAGTACAATACGTACAAAAGTGTTTTGTAAAGTTTTTTGCAAATGTACAATACATTTTAAATTATTTCAATTCACTCGATTGGAACATTTCTATTTTCGGAATGCTGGAATACACTTCGGTACTATATTCATTTACTTATTACGATGTAGATACGTAAATTATCTAGAAATATTCAAAATCGTCGTCTTTCACATTAAGGCAAGCACAGGCATTGAATTTATGACGAGAAAATTTATACATGATACAAAAATAATTGCTATAAACTTTAAAGGCACTAAGTAGCGTAATTTAAGAATATAAATTAATTGTTCATGGATCCATGAGATTGACTGACGGAGGTCGAATATTTAGCTGATATTCTCCAAAGACCATAGCTGCTACCCATTTGTGTTGTTCCTCTTTTAACGATCCTGCTAAAATATTTCCAAAATATGGACTTTCTTTGCATCTGAAATCAAATTTTTAAAAGCATCTTGTGATGTTATAGTCCATCTATATATAACAAATTTAGCGACCAATTTATTTTTAAAACATTTTAATAATTCTTTTGATTAACGTAAAAGACTATTAACATTACCTCGTGGGTTTTTTATTTTTAGCTATGAATGTTATAGACCATCTGCAATAAAAAATACATGTATACTTTCAACAATTCTATGTAAAGGTAGTTGGTTATGCATTAAGAAAAGAGAGACATTTACCCCGTCTGTGGATTTCGCTTTGGCTCGTGACCCAAATACCAAATAATGTCTTCTACTTTCCATTCGTACAGTACATTCGCGCACACTCTATCTTTGTAACAATAAAGTTTCGCTTGACTAAATTCGAAGAGGTAGTTCTTAAAATTTTTCGATTTTGTATCAGCAAACTTAAGCTCTCCAGACGTTGTCATTGGTGGTTTCATCTATAAACAAAAAACAAGAGATACTAAAAAATTGATAAATACCTTTCTACTACTGTTTCAAGCATACTAAAAATACAATATCCAAATAAATAAACAATTCACGATGCCTAAAATGAATTATCTTATATATAATTTATTCTCGTGTGACTCTATCACCATTTACCAGGAGTGCTATATCCTTGTATAGTCGATCTTTCCTAAGTATGAGGACATTGTCTTTTCTATCTTCAGAGTCCCAGTATCCCCACCTTGCTACTGCTTCAAGGACACGCTCTTTATAATGGAGTGGTCTTTCCAGTGCACCAGACAATGTGTATTCCTCCAGACACAGTTCATGGGCTAACATGTTAGTTTTCTCCGCCAGTTCTTGACAGACGTCAAACGCAGTCTTTTGTGGACCGATCTGAAAAAAAAAAAAATACATTATATTTCTCTTGAATAAATATTTGCAATCTATATTCACAATGAATTGGAGATGCATTGAAGTGTAGATGACAGTACAAGTTTAACTGCTTTATTTTTGTTATATATCGGAATCATTATTCTTAAAAAATGACATCAGTTCATCTTCAAAAAAACCAACTGTGCATTAAAAGAAAAAAAGAATTATATATTTCTCAAAGACAAAGTATCATAAAGTTAAAATTAATGTAAAGAAAAGGGATTCTCACGGTCACATTAACACATTCACCATCTCTCGAAAAAATATATATCCAAATCTTCAGATCACCCGATGGTGCGCCGCGTAAACCGTTATTTGAACCGTGGTGTTTCTCGAGAACCTCCAGAATTTTCGCCTCCTTCGCCAAATCCGCAGCTGTCAGCTGATATAATTTCGGATAGAGTTTGATCAGGTCACCGATCACTCTAGTCTCGGACCTGTTCCATTCTTCCGCGCTGTTTTCGCCAGCGTGCATTAACGTTGGTCCCCAAATTGCGGAAAGGTTCTCGCCGGTCATCAGGTTCTTGGAATTCTGTTGACTCAAACAGTGAAGGTGAGCAAGAATTCTCCTGAGCGTTGCTGCCGGTACTGGCGTTAACGTAGACAATAATTTCCTATACGCCGAAACTCGTTCGTTTTCGTTGACGGTTTCTAAAAAATAAAAGTTGGCGTATATTCTTTCGTTGTTGAAATTTAATTCATCGTACGTGATACATGTGAAACAAGTGGCGATTTCCCTTTATATTATTAAGGCTTTATATTTTCTTTTAAAGATTATATATTTTGTAAAACATAAATCAACCATAACTGTTTGATTAATGGAGAAATAAGCTTCCGAACGATAGCCATCTAATTAGTGCACGTTGTTTTCATTAGCGACTAACAACGATTGTATGCATACTTATCAGAGGTGTATTTGCTTTCACTAAGAAACTTGAAGGCCTGTTATGAAAAGCTATGATTCATCGGCGGCCTCCGCGCGGTTCTCACGAGACGTTTCACCGTATAGCAGACTAAAAACAAGTTGCACACGCTGCAGAAATTTGTGTACTTGAGTTCAACGTTCGTTTCATCGCCCTATTAAAATACATAATTCCCCTTTCAACAAGTGCCACACAAGGGAAGAAAACAGGAACCGTCAATTATCGTTGCTAATAAAACTATTTTGAAGGGAATTTTTGCTGATCCAAAAAAAAAAAAAAAAAAAAAAAATACAGCGACAATTTTATTTTATACGTATAATAAATAGCTTTTAATAAATAATTAATAAATTATATTTTTTGCGTATCGAGCACGAGTATAAATTTTTTGGACTTTAATAAATAGAAGACGATAAAAATCTTAATAGATTTAATACATTTATTCAAAATAAGATAATAATACCGCAAAGCGGTAAATCTGTACGTAATGACACTTTGTGTTGAAATGAAATTTGAAGCATTCCTCTTAACATTCCTCTTATAATTATGTATGCAAAAGACGATCGAAAACAAAGAGCGATTTATTCAAACGTATGGACATTTTCCTTTTTTTTTTTTAAATTAAATTTTATTTTTAATATACTATCTTTTCAAAAACAATATACATTTACATGTAGTGCTCTTCTACTTTTATCGCAATAATGGAAGTTATTTTGCAAATGAATTGGAATTCCAGGTCAACGTACTTTTCACCTCACAGTGCAACGTGAGAAACGTAGAAAAAGTAGAACAGCCAGGTTACAAGATAGATAGCCGTATCTCTTAAATTATGTGTAAATAACATGTAACTTCATGCATCTTAATTAAATATTTTTTGTATTTATATTACAATTGAAAAGATATTATAATTTGATAAAAGTTTTAATTTAATATGATTTTTAATGTAGTTTCTCCGCAGTCACGTTTCTCAATTCAATACTGTTTCATTGTCAGAATGTCCATTTAAGTGAGCGAGTTCAAACGCAAACAGCCAAGGACAATGAGTATTCCTTACCTGAGGTAAGACAAAGCCGATCGTGGATGTCAGGGGGAAACAATGGATTCGGTAAATCACGAAGAAACCTTCTGAGAACCGTAGCGACATCGTGTTCGGTATATGCGCTTCTTGTAATTTGTGTCGACCATGCGTCGCGACGAAAGGCTTTCAATAATTTAACTACAGCGCTGTTGGAGCCGTTTTGCCGATAAATGCCCTTTGACATAATACCTTTAATAATAATAAGCAATACACTTAACATGCTAGTTAAAGATTAATTTTCTTCTAGTTATTTCATTCTGGATTTTATGCTTGTTTGCAAATTTCACATGTTTACCATGAACATAGATGAAATTAATGCATTTGTCGAGGATCACAGGCACATTGTCCTGCGTGAGTTGTTGTTGCTCTAAAGCGGGACCACAGGTAGTGGCGGCTTGATAAAGTGCGTGTCTCCATGCGGATCCTTCGTGAGTTCCTGGTGCAGCCACGTGTAATGCACCATTACCACCTGCATCAACGACAACCACCGGAACTGATCCTGCGTCGGCATTCGGTCCTTCCTGTTCTCGTAAAACTGTAACAGAGCGTGAAGATCATTAGAACTATTTCTTTTTTTTTTTTTGTTTTTCAAAGAATTTCAAAGCAAACGTTCAGCTTATCTCAAGAAGTTCTGATAAGTAATTAACAATGTGTCATTATGCTTTGGCCATTATGAGATAAACGTATAAAAATAGGCAGCAGTGAATTATTTATGTATTCCAACCATTATGTCTATGTAACAGTTGCATTTTTATAACTGTTTCGTTGCATTACTAGGTCATGTGTGTTCACTGCATTGAACTTTGTTACAGATAAAAAATGTTTTCTCTCAGCGAATCGTATGAACAAGTAGATCAACGACAATTCGATTCTTTTAATGTGCATTGCAATCAATAGTGAATTAAAGTGGATTGATATTATGTACCGCAAGTTGGAAGATTTCGTTTTATAAATAACTGTGCAAGTATGGAACTCATGAATAATTTTAATAAAAAAAAAAAAAAAAAAAAGAAACTTACCGATGCATCGAGCCTTCCGAAGATCAAGTTTCCCCAATGTTATGGTCACAGAGGAATCTAGAGATTTCGTATAAATTAACGTTCGCTGGTACAAAAGAACCCAAGCTGGGAACCACGTGCCCGTTACGCCTTCCTGAAAATATGTATCAATTAATGTTAAATGTAATTCGTGACTTCGTTTTAAAACAACTTGTTTCTTACTTATTTCCTACGATATTACCGACTACCATAGATACCATATTATATTCCACATGTGGAAGTTTGATTATTAGAAAGTGATTTTCTCCAAAGATAGTCATAGTCACCACGAAATGAAGGAAACATGGTACAAGTAGGTACTATTTTCTCAATATACATAAAAAAGAAATAATGGAATAAACTTTCTAAAATATTTGTCATTAAATATCCAACAATAATTCCATGTTTATTCACTAGAAATGTTTCAAGATCATAAAGTTTAAGTTTTATTGAAAATTAAATCTCTAAGAAATTAATTACTAACACTAAATATATACTGAAATTAATTTGTTTCTTGTACCTTCAAGTAGGCCCATCCTACCCTCGTCAGTTCAGCCGTGTATTTCGTGGGAAAAATCGTAGTAATAGCCTCTAGTATTCTCTGAGCCCAAATCCTTCGTTCTGTAGTACCCTTCACGTAAAATACATGAACGCTCGGTCTTCCTTCACCGCTAATTGCTATGCAATGTACGGTTTCTCCATCAACTATCCTGAACATTTTTTAAATCATCTTTGTTATTTTCCCATCGGTTCACTATTTAATCTTGTTATATGTAAATTTGGGGACTTCTTCCTCGTGTTCATTATTTTCAATAGGATTGCTTTTTTCTAAAATACAGAATTATTACTATACTCTATTTATACCCGACAATTAACGCAATATGGAGTATTTTTTACTTTTATATAAAATTTATGTAGTTTCAAGCAGTAGCAGTACGTATATTTTTCACAAAGAATCCAGATGCACGTGTTCTTACAATATTGATCTTTTGAAAAATCATTCAATTTAATAATAACGTATACATCTTTTATTACTTATCTTTGTATTTTCAAAATGCACAAAGATCCGCTTGGATCGATCAAACTTGGAAATGAAAAACGGAAGGAAGAGTATGTATGTGTATCTTTTTTTCCTGCCTCGGAGAAGACTAGAACACGAAGACTAGAGCGACGATCCCTGCCTTTCGTAAAATGTCGTTATCTTTATCCGCAGCGAAAAACCGGACTCACTTAAAGTCCTGGAGAAGATGAATGCTGTATACTGTGTCGAGGTGAACGATCTCCTTCAGAGTAGACATGCCCTTATCGGTGTAAAACGAGAGCTTCTGGTCGGCCAAGACCATTGCCCTTGGCACCAGGTCCTTCGCCCTTTCTATTCCTACACCGGTCCTGTAAACGATTCCTCGGTGCGTCGTCAGATTTTGTAGATCGTTTAGCCTTGGTCTCGCCAATTTCGTCGATCTCGTGCTTGGCACAACGCCGCCAGTGCTGTGGTCACGATTCCTCGACAGCAATTTACTACCGCTCTTCACGAAACTCATCACGTTCGGTCTGATCCCGTGCCCCGTGGACTCGTGCCGCAATTTTTTCAATTTCTGAATCACGCCCACGCGTCTGTGCTCCTCCGTGGCCTTACCACTCGAAGGACTCGACGATTCGTCGGCGCACGTTGTCATTATGCTACTCGTCGTTGTTGTAACTGGAGCATAAAAGATATATTTAGATCTAAATAAATTTCCTTTACTTTTTAAATGAATATTTAAAAAGTTTGTAATGCAATGATTAAAATGTAAATGGAAGAGTTTAAAGAATACTTGAAATTGTAATTACTTTTAATAATAATAATGAATTATCGATGCATTTGAATTTCACAGCGACGCGGGACGAAATACTTCGAATGCCATCGAGTTAGAAGGGTTAAACTGTTAACACTAATTCAAGTTACTCTTAATTGGCGATATAAACTTTGCAAGCTCGACTGCGTACTCAAGATAGAACGAATAAAGTTCCAGACATTATTTTCTTACTTTCTCCTCGAATCCAATCCTTTCCGAGTTTGAAAATTCTTCGTATCTTTAATCAATTTTCATCAGTTACAATAAACGAAAATTATAAACGGAGTAATCACCTGGACCATCGGCAGTCGTAGCAGCCGCTGGTTCAGCTGTTGTAGAAATTGTGGAAGGCTGGTCGTTCGAACGATTTTTGGTTCTTGACTTTCTCGGCGGGACAGCAGGTTGTTTCCGAGTAACTAGATGCGCCAACTTTGGCAGCAGAGCCGGGCTTTTCCCCGCGGCACTTCTATCTGTCTGCGGGAGAATTTCCGACACCTCGTCGTATTCGTTTTTCGGCAACGAGTCGAATCTCTTCGGTGGTTCCGGCGGTACCGACGAGACGATTTGCTCGACGTCCTCCTCGTCCACGTCGTCGCGTTCCTCCTCCTCGTTATCGGCCGCTTCTTGAAAGTCCAGAATACTATCGGAGCTGCTGGGCGAATCGTTGGTGGCCAATAAAGTCTCCAATAACATTAAATCGTTGTTCTCGAAGTTACTGTACACGTTCTCGTCGGATGTCCTAGCGAACGGATCAAACTCGAACAGTAAAGATTTGCTACTTTGTTGCCTGTTCTCCGAGCTATTCGACGTTGCTTCCTTCTCCTCCTGCGCCTTCTGCGGCAACAGATTTTCGTACAGCGAATTCTGGATAGACGCTTGGCTTCCGTTCGACGCGTTGGATGTCCGATCGAGCAGAGGCACGTCTTTATCCAGGACGTCCTCCTCCGCGCTCGATATCCTGTCCAGCTCGTCCAGCCCCCCCTCGGATTTCCCACCTGGCGCGGTGTCGTAGAACGTCCAGGAATCGGATCTCGATAATCGTTTCGCGTTGTCCAATTTGTCCAACGGTAGTGTCACGTTCACGTCGGAGAGGTTCAAGCTCTGATCTGAATCACTGGCCTAACGAAAGAGATCATGGGAAGCTTTCAATTGTGATTAAGATTTTGATCGGCGTCTCTTCACGTTTTTATCTATTCTTAATTTTGTAGAGACAAAGTAAAGATGTATGATACATATTTCATTTATTCTGAATATTATCATGTAATACCTATGGATAATGTTTAGATCAGAGTAGATTATAACGAAAGAATATAATAGAGAATGCTACGATCGAGAACAGAAGAATAAAAAAAGTTACATGTTTGTTCGATGAAGATATTTCAATTAGCTGAAGCAACTATAGAAACTGAATGGGCGGTAAGTGACCGACTGACGACCAGGCGTTAATAATTGATAGTGGAGGGAAGGAAGTTAATGACCTCAAGGCATCAAAAGATTTGTATTTCATTCAAATATTTTAGAAAAATAGAACAACGAATCAACAGATTGAGCGAGCTCACTGCAGTTAAAATCTAGAACTTATTAATTTGCCTAGGTTATAGAGTAAAAATGAAATGATTGTCAGTGTCTGCTGGAATTGGAAGTATAATATAACAATTCAAATACATTATTTTCAAGTCCTTGTTTTTACCTGTTCGAGGGCGAAACTAAGGAGATCAAACGATTCGGGGAAGTCCCTGTCGACTTTGTCAGAGATGGTCGAGCTGATCGTGTCGTATCGGCTGCTGCCCGACGTCACGGACTGCAATTCGTCGTAGATAGACTCGTCAGGATGCGGAGGAGGATATGCAGGAGGTGGTGGACTGTGACGCGTCCCGGAAAGGTCTTCCTCGTTTCTGACGCTTCTCAGATTACTGTTCAAGGGACTGTAGAACGAGATGCTGCTGAAAATATCATCAGCCGGCATCGAGACGCATCTTTCATCCGCTACCGGGTCTTTGAACTTCTTATTGCAGCCAGTATTATCCCTTAAAATCTCATCTTGATTCAACGATGTTAACCTTCGCGTCAGAAGATTCTTCACCGATTTTTCCAGCCTGATGCTGGCGTTCCTCGTGCTCGAGATCACCGCACGGCCCTTCATCGTCATCTTCTCAGATATCTCGTCTTTCAACTGCCGGGAACTGCTGCTCAGATTTCGAAAGAACTCACTGTTCGTGCTCCTCGTTTCCGACGTCGATTTCGAGTCGTCGCTTTTCTCCGATTGGCTTGAATCGCTGTGACTGCTGAACCGAGCCGCTGGCAACGACGGTGGTAACCTCCTCGGTGCCGGTACCGGTCGTTCGGTCATCACCGATCTCGGTTTCGGTATCGGTTTCTCCTCCATTTCGAATGGATATTTCTCTGCCTCGCCGCTCGTTTTCAACCGAAGGATCCAGGAACGTAGAAGCTGCGCCACATGCTTCGGCCCCCTTTCAACAGTATTTTCAGATACTTTCATGCGGGTACTTGGAAATCGGTTCAACTTGATTGCTATTTACTACTGTAAAGTGCCAGTTGCTGATTAAATAATTCATCATTCGAACGTCGGAATTTCTTTTTTTTTTTTTTTAATCTCAAGAATCAAGTAGTTTCGTAATGTAGTTGTACCTTACGATCTTTTGTTGATAAATTTTTGCGTGGCTCAAGTTAAGCTGTTTCGCGTAATAAGTCTGATAAGACGACACTGATTTAACACTAAACGTACCGGCATTTTACATATATCTTATATCTGTCTTACCATAAGGGGTCAAATGACCCCGCTTGGTACATAAGATATGCAAAGAATTTTTCTCGAATTAAAAAATAAGCTAAGAGAGAAACAGAAAACGAGAAATTGAATAATCAGATAATATTGGAATTTACAAAAAGTCAGATCAGCGAATGAAATAACAACGAATGTACGATTTTAAAGTAAATTTTGAAAGGGGGTCATTTGGCCCCCGCTTGGTACGTTTAGTGTTAAAGAAATCAATGTAACTTGCTTATTTCTATCTGGCAGACGAGAAGATTTCTTCGATAAGCTTTCCATTGTATTTCCCGGGAAAAGAATTGTTTTAATGAATTGGTTGAAATTAATACGATTCAACGTGATTAGTTTCGAAATTAATTGGACCATTTTACGTTGTAATTGCACCGATTATTCGGATGTCATCCCATCAACCTGTGCCAAGGGACTCGATAGTACATATCGCGTTCAGTGCAATTTGAGACGTAAAACAAGCCACATGCGGCGAGAAATGATAGAGGAGTGCCGAGGTATTATAATACGGTCTCTTTTTAATTTATTACTTTCCACATCTCACGTTCGATTGTTATTGATCGATCTAATACGAAACTTACAATTTTTTTTATTATGGTATCACGTCAACGGAAATAAATCGACAAATAATACATAATTATGCAATTTTTTTTTTTTTTTTTTAAAGAAAAAGAAATTTATAACACAAATATCAATAATAATTCAGGGCAAAAAGTTGAAAATTAACGAATAATAAATTGTCAGCAAAATGTACAAATGCATAATTTTGAAATAAGGAGAAGCATATGGTGGCTGATCCTATTATCACAAAGCAGTGAAAGTATGTTGAATTTAACGAGCAAATAGAATTCATTTTCTGATCTTGCAACACACATGCGTTGAAGACCCGTTCTCATGTTGTATAATTGAAATGCAAACACAGACACACAAGTGTTCACGTATCCATTGAAGAAACTCGTTTTCCATGCAAAAAAGTATTGTTGACAGTTAATAGTAAAGAAAAATTTGTTAATAAACAAATGGACAAAAATATGAAAATAAAATAAGCAAAAAAAGAGTCGAGCGGTTCGGAATGATTCGTACGCTGATTCAGAGATCCAGTACAAAATCATCAAATTTAAAGCTCTGAGATCAATTACCAAGCAGACATTTGAGAAAGTGAGTAAGTATATATCAATTGATCATACGTCGCAACATCCGAAGACGATTCCACATTTTCGAGATCCCGACGTGGCGTTGAACACTGACTCGAAGAACTATCAACATTTGCTTCGTACATTCTACCAACGATAGTTACTTAGATAATAAAAGACAGCTCAGCGCGAAGCACTTCTGCACGGTTGAATCACCGCTTCCGAGTCACGTGATTAGCAATGAGCAGTTGGAATAAATCATGTTTTATAATTTCGATTGGTCTTGATTATCAGCTTCATGCACACCTCCCCTGGTGTTCGATAATTCTCACCTAATTAAATTTTCACGTTAATTGTAACACAAGTTGACTTGTAATTCCATCGTGTTCAAGCTACTTCTTAAATCATCTTAAATCATCTTCCCGTGGTAAGTTTACGATTTACGCAAAAGATACTTTATAAAATTGTTCAAGCTTCGAGTTGAAACGTTCTTATTCATAGTGTGTACTTATGTATCTGTATTCGTGTATATAAATCTGCAAATGAAGATATATTATTAAGTAAGTCATTTAAACGACAACTGTACGTATATACTATCGTACGATAATATTCCACAAGTATTTAATTTCTCTAACGCATATTTAACAATATCGCTAAAAGTTAATTTTCAAATTTCCTACTTAATGTCGCACACATGCACATTTAACTGACATCGAAGATATAGGTTAGAATGCTACATCTTTTCAAACATGTCTAGTTCAAATTTAATGTCATCTTGTAAAGATCATTTAAAGAATCGGTAGATAATACAGAAATTTGGAAACGAACCATATTAATTCGTATTACCAGCCAATGACATACAACTTCTGATTCCCGCGAAAACGACAGTCGTTGGAAACTTTGGCGCGTTTGAATCGTCACGTGACCGTCAACAAGAGAAATAAGAAAAAAGAAAAAAAAAAA